CCCTAATAACAATTTTCCTTACGGGGATCCTAAATCCCTAACCCTAATAACAATTTTCCTTACGGGGATCCTAAATCCCTAACCCTAATAACAATCTTTGCAAATAAAAGCCTCAGAGAGGATTCTGTGCAGCTGTTGAGAGCGGGTGAGGCTGAGTCCAGCAGGTCTGAGTTGGTGCCCTGGTCTGGGGCCGTGTCACACTCTGAAGGACTCTCTGCCCCCCTTCAGAGTTCCCTACAGAGCTGTCATGGGTGGTGTGACCCAGTTCCCTGGAGTGATTGTCATTTTTTTTGGAGGTGGAATTTTTATTGCCTGTTTACAAATTCAAAGGTTGGTGGTCTGAATACACCCCAAGGCACCTTGGGAGAAAGGTGATCTACTTCCCAAACATCAGTCACTGAGTACCCTGTGGACATACATGGGGTTGCCCTTACTCAGAGGCACAACTGATTTGGTGCCTGTCTCCTGGAGGTGGAGGCCTGGGAAAGGGCTGATCCGGACTGTTGCTGACACATCTCTGTCTTGTCCCTGCCCCTCCATTTCCCTCCAAAGTGATGGCCTGTGGCCGGCCCCAGGGCACTGCCGTGTATAAGGTGGCCGAGTATGCCCGGCGTTTTGGTGTGCCTATCATAGCTGATGGCGGTATCCAGACCGTGGGCCATGTGGTCAAAGCCCTGGCCCTTGGCGCCTCCACAGGTAAGGGGGGGTGTCTTCTGGGAATTGGGTGGATAGAATGTGGGTTCTGGAACAGCAGGCACTAACTAACCCTGGCTTCTGCAGTGATGATGGGGTCCCTGCTGGCTGCCACCACAGAGGCTCCCGGGGAATACTTCTTCTCAGATGGAGTGCGGCTCAAGAAGTACCGGGGCATGGGCTCCCTGGACGCCATGGAGAAGAGCAGCAGCAGCCAGAAGCGATACTTCAGGTGCTTGCCCTGAGCCCCAGCCCTCGCCCACATGCCTTGACTTTATAGTCGGTCCCAGAAGTAGCCGACCTGGACCAGTACCTGGGCCACCTGACTCAGAATCCATGTTTTGTAATGCTGTAGCCCAGCACATGGCTGTTTGGGGGGACCTTCTGGGTGGCACCCACTCTGCTTGTTCAGAGGTAGGGGGACTCTGGCTCACTGTCCCCACCCTTCCGCAGCGAGGGGGACAAGGTGAAGATTGCGCAAGGTGTCTCGGGCTCTATCCAGGATAAAGGCTCTATCCAGAAGTTTGTGCCCTACCTCATCGCAGGCATTCAGCATGGCTGCCAGGACATCGGCGCGCGGAGCCTGTCTATCCTGCGGTGAGTGCAGGGAAGCTTCTGGAATCTTCCGGCTGCTTTCCTTCTCTTTTCCTTTGTGCCCCTGACCTGCCCCGTCCATTTACCTGTCAGATCCATGATGTACTCAGGAGAGCTCAAGTTTGAGAAGCGGACCATGTCGGCTCAGATTGAGGGCGGTGTCCACGGTCTGCACTCGTAAGTGTGGGGTGGTCCCTGCACCCTACCAGGTGGGCAGTGGGAGACCATGGCTCAGAGCAGCGCTGAGTTTCCGGGACCCCCGAACACTGAGGGCAGTGGCTGCTACAGCCTGCCCCCACCCTTGAACCCTGGCCCTTGGCCCCTGCAGGCAGGCTCCTCCCCTCCCCTCGGGCCTCTCCCCGAGCAGGGCACGGGAGGTATGACCACTAGCCAGCCCCACTGGCTCCAGGCCTTTGATTGCTCAAAAGCTTGGTGGCGGTGGCACCAGGCAGACAGCAGAGCAGAGAGATGGGTGCAGGGCCAGCATTGGGGCGGTTGGACGGGCTCAGAGTGAGGGACAGCAGTAGTGCCCGGCGCATGGCCCACCCTGGCCAAAGGTCTGGCTCCCCAGCACAGTGGCCATCTAACCTGTGTCTCTTTCTGCCCCCCTCCCATAGCTATACCTTTCTGCCGTGTAAGTAACCGCGCTGCCCGGGCCAGGTGTAGAGTAGAGCAGGGGCCGTCTGGGTGGGACCCTGGCTTGTGGGGTGGGAGGGGGGTTAGGGGCGGCACTGGGGTGCCATCATGGGATGTAAACTCTGGGACTGGGGTCTCCTGTGCCCCGCCCTCAGCCCCCTTCCTTTCGGGATGTAGCAAGGTGCCCATGACCACAGGCCTGAAGCTGCCTGTCTGGGACAGGACCCAGGACTGCCAGGGATCCAGGCAGAGGGGCTGGGGAGACCCAGAGCGGCAGAGGCTCGGTGCTAGGACGGTGTGAGGCCGGCCGTGCTCCAGCCAGGCACTGATGCCACACTGCTCCTCAGGGGGCCCTGGCCCAGTTCTCTGCCTTCCCCTGCCCACTGTCCAGGGCCCAGGCAGGGGCTTTGGTGGCCCAGGCCTGGGCGAGGGGATCTGGGAAGGGGGCCTCGTCCACATGCCCACTACCTCGTGCCCTCTTGCCTTGTCCCCACAGTTATGAGAAGCGGCTGTACTGAGGACAGCGGTGGAGGCCGAGGCGGCGGAGGGGGTGTGTCTCCCGGCCCTCCTTTGGGTCCAGCCTCCCTCCATAGCTGAGCGGCCCACAGATTTGCACTACAGGTTCCCCAGCTCCTGTCCAGGGAGAGAGGCGGGGACAAGGGGTCCCCAGGCACCCTCACTGTCAGGAGTGTTCCTGGGCCAGGCTGCCCCCCACCTCCTGCCCCCAAGCCCCGCTGCCCAGGCTCTCAGGCCTTGTGCCTGCCTCAGGTCTTTCTTGGCGCAGCCTGCTCCAGCTGGCTCACACCCTGGGCAGGTGGCCCCTCCTGGCTTCTCCCATAGGGCACTCCCCACCTCCCCAGGAAATGGTGCTCTCCTGGCCCTGCCTCTGGCCCCTCCTGGGCTGCACCCCTCTCAGCCATGTGGCACTTCTGGGCTCTTGGCCCAGGCCAGGGGAAGGTCTCTGCCCCCTTCCCCTGGGGCCTTGGGCTACCTGGACTGCCTACCTGTCGTTCCTGCCTCTACTGTCCTAAGTGTACCATCCCTGCCCTCTCCTCTCAGCTGCAGTCGAAGGCTTTAACTTTGCACACTTTGGGGTCACATTGGCATCGTTGTATATTAAATAATCTGAATAAATCAAGCAGGTCTCAGTGCCTCGACTGTTCTGCCTCTGTCCCACCCTGGTGAACAGTGACCCAGGCCGTGTCAGAGCCGGGCTGGGAGAGAGGCCAGGCCCAGCCTCCCCAGGAAGGTGACGAGGGCCTCTCGGTACTCAAGGGGGTGCTGACGCAGGTGGGCTGCGTGGCGGGAGGCCTCCCAGCCTTGAGCCCACACAGGTGTGCCCGCCTGTCGCCAGCTAGCCAGCAGCTCCCGCAGGAGGACGGTGTCGCAGAGTGGGTCGTCATGGCTGTAGAAGACAAGTGTTGGGGGCCTCACGGGCTGCTGCCAGAAAACACCCAGTGCATCCTCATAATGCCGTACGGTGCAGCCAGGGCACAGGCGGAAGTAAAGCAGAGCTGTGGCCCTAACTGCAGGGCCCAGGGCCCGAGGGCCTATCATCTGAGACACACCTGTGGACAAGAAGCAGGAAGTGAGCCCCAAACCCCTCGTGGTGGGACAGTGCTGACACCAAGGCTGCTGGACACCCCCCCAGACTTGAGGGCCCAAGGCCCAAGTTGTCACTGGACAGTGAGTATGCTGTTGCCATGAGCACACATCACTCCAACAGGCATAAGTAAGGAAGGCAGCCTGAAGGCTCTTCTGGCAGGGATGGGGGGTTGTGAAGAGGTGGGACACCCCCATCACTGTGAGGAGAGCTCCTGAAGCCATGGTCCCACACACTGTGCTGACCCCACTGTCTCCCAGGCCCCTCTGACAGCACTTGGACAGTGTTTGGGGCCAGTCTTAAGCCGTGGTGTCTGTAGGAATGGAAAGCAGGGAGCTGGATGGAAAGCAGGGCTGTTGGGTGGGCTCAGAGCCCATTTAATAACCTGTCACTAGAGCTGTTGCTAAGTGAATGGGAGTCCCAAGGAGCCTTTAGTCCCTGGAGCACCTAAGGGTGGCGACCTGCTGAGAGGAGAAGGAACCAGGATCCCAGAGGAAGAGAGGATGGGCCACAAAGAAGGCCACAGTTTGTGGTTTGTTTTGTGGTGGTGTTTGGTGCCATCAAGTCAGTTCCGATTTCTTACAACTCCATGTAGGCTCCCTGATCCTGTGCCATCCTCACAATTATGTCTGAACCCATTGTTGCAGCCACTGTGTCAGTCCACCTAGTAAGGGTCTGACTGTTTCACTGACCCTCTATCAAGCATGGTCCTTTTCCAGGAACTGGCCCTTCTTGATAACATCCAAAGTACATGAGACAAAGACTTGCCAGCCTCACTTCTAAGGAGCATTCTGGTTGTATGTCTGCCAAGTTTTGTCAGTCTATAATATATTCAAATGCGTCAGTTCTCTGGTATTCCTATTCATTGTCCAGTTCTGTATGTGAGGTGATTGAAAATAACTTGTCTTGGTTCACATTCACCTTACTCCTCAAAATCACATCTTTGCTCTTTAACATTTTAAAGAGGTTTTTTGCAGCAGATCTGCCCAGCGCAGTACATCCTTGGATTTCATGACTGCTCTGTCCATGGGTGTTGAATGTAGATCCAAGTGAAATTAGATCACTGACAATTTCAGCCTTTTCTCCATTTATCATGATGTTGCTTAGTGGTTCTGGTTATGTTGAAATGTATTCCATACTGAAGGAAGTAGTCTTTGAACTACAGCAGTGTTTCAAATCCTCCTTGCTTTTAGCAAGCAAGGTTGTGTCATCCGCATATCACAGGTTGTTAATAAGTTGTTTTTTTTTTTAATGAGTTCCACGTTATATATGTTGTTGTTAAGTGCCGTCAAGTCGGTTCTGACCCATAGCAACCCGTATAAGGCTTCCAAGGAGCAGTTGGTGAGCTTGAACCACTGACTTTGTAGTTCAAACGACTTTGGAGTCTGATGCATTAGCCCACAGCGCCACACCATGAGGGGCCTTCAAAAAGTTTATAGGAAAATGGAATTAAAAATAATGAAATTTCTTCATGAAAAATGTGAAAGCTCCCTCATGTTCCAGTTTCTGGGACTATTTGCTCAGCATACAGATTGAGTAAGTATGATGAACAGATACAACACTGACACACACCTTCCCTGGTTATAAAACAGTAAAATGACTGCCTCTAGTCATTTATATAGTCTGTGTATTGTTGTTAAGTGCTGTTGAGTCGGTTCCGACCCATAGCAGCCCTGTATAGGGTTTCCGAGAAGTTGGTGAGCTTGAACTGCCGACCTTGCAGTTCAAACGGCTTTGCAGTCTGACACATTAACCCACAGCGTAAGCTTTGTTAAGTGCCATTGTGTTGGTTCTGACTCTTAAGAGACCCTGTATAGGGCTTCTGAGGAGTGGCTGGTGAGTTTGAACCACCGACCTTGTGGTTCAAATCAACCTTGCAGTCCAGTTCTTATCCTACAGCACCACACCAGAACTCTGCATGATAACAAGTGTTCTGGAATTCTCGTTCTTTGAAAAGTTATCCACAGTTGGTTATGACCACACAGTTGAATGCCTTCATTTAGTCACTAGTATAGAAGTCAACATCTTTCTGGTATTTGTCAGCAGAGGTCCAGCAGACATCAACAAAGATATGCCTGCTTCTAAGTCCTCTTCTGAATCTGGCTTGAACTGTCTTGTTTATCAGTTTAGAAGACCACACAGGAAACCACTCAGTTAGGAATTAGGGTGGGACAAGCTAAGGGTTTAGACAATGCCAAGTCAATTGTATCAAAAGTGACTGGCTTGAGGAGAGAATTATCTAACAATCAGAGCTGACTCTGCTTAACCAAAAGGATGGCTGTTCAAACCCATCTGATTGCTTCAAGAAAGACCTGGTCATCCACTCACGGAAAGATTATTAAGTGCCGTCAAGTCGGTTCCAACTCATATCCACCTGGTATAGAGTTTCCAAGGAACAGCTGGTGGGTTTGAACTGCCAGCCTTATGGTTAGCAGTTCAGTGCTTATCCTACAGAGCCACACCAGAACTACCATAAGATTGGTGGTGGTGGTGGTGGTAGTGTGCCATGGAGTTGGCATAGTGAACCTGCTGTAAATCTCAAAATCTCAAAGCTGTAAATCTTTACAGGAGCAGAGAGCCTCATCTTTCTCCCGTGGCATGGCTGGTAGTTTCGCACTGTTGACCTTAAGGTTAGCAAGATTGTTAAGTGCCTTTCTGTTTCCAAGGAGCAGCTGGTGAGTTTGAACCGCCGACCTTAGAGTTCACATTTGCGGTATGGTGCATTAACCAGGACTAGGAAAAGCTACCGAGCAGTTTTGCTCTGCCACATGGGGTAGCTATGAGTTGGAAATGGAGTTGACAGCACCTAACAAGAGGAACAGATACTTTCTTACGAAATACCCCAGTCAGTCCTCAAGGTGTGTGTGTCTGCCTTGTGGGGCCCATCTAGAGGCTGCTGAGCACAGTGCTCCTCTGATTTGGGTTGGGTCAGGATCTCCTGGAGGGCTCATAATCTGTCCAGAAGCCCAGGTTCTCGGAGGTGGGGTAGGTCCTGGGTGACAGCAGTTTCAAAATCTCTGTTTTAGAGGAAATCCGTGCACCCAAGTACATGATTTCCAAGGCTTTTTCCAAAACTCGTACCCCAAGAGATTCGGGAGACCCAATACATACCCCCACAGCTTCCTTGTGAGTGTAAGAAGAAAGCTGTGAGAGGGGGTCAGTATCTGCCCATCATGTCTCATTTGGTATAAATCCAGCCACTGGCAGCCAGGTCCGGTGGAACAAAGGGGAGCAGGGTAGGAAAGTCACATCAGCATACCACAAGCATACCACAGGCCTGAGTTTGCGACCTAGGTGTCCCCCTTCCCTCTCCCTGGCACACTCACCCAGTGCCATGCGGTCCAGAGTGCCCACTACCAGGCTGTCGAAGACGTGGCCCCGAAGCCGCTGCGCCACACTGCCGTGGCGTCCCAGGTCTCGGCTCATAAGCAGAAGCATTTGCGCGAACGTGTAGCCGCCCAGGGACAGGGCATGCACCACTAGTGGGCGGTCAGCCATCGCCCCGGGCGCCTGCAGCAACGCCAGCAGCCGGGCCGCACGTCCCAGGCCCCGGCGCGGGCACAGGAAGTGGCCCAGCGCGCTCTCCGCAGCCAGCACGTCGAAGCCATGGGTCAAGTACAGCTCCAGGTACTTGGCCTGGGCGGCCGGCCGCGCACCCAACCAGGGTAGGAACAGGAGGAGTGGGCGTGGGCCTAGGGTGCTGGGGGGGCCTGGTGGCACCGACCTGCTGTACAAGCGGATGGAGCTGGAGAGGTGGGTCACCGTCACGTCAGCGGGGAGCAGCGGGACCATAGACATCGCTGGAGCTCCCAAGGGACACACAAGGAGGGAGGCGTGGCAGGTGGCTCTGGTTCTCCGGTTGCTCAGCCGGTAGTTCAGAAGGGGCCAGAGCCGCCTCTAAGGCCCCTTTCAGCGTCTGTAGTCTGGTGCCAATCAGGAAGTGGGCACGCGGCCCAGAGGAGGGTCAGTCTCATTCGGCCGCCCCCAACCCTCTCTCCACCCCTTCCCCACACTTCCGGGAGTAATTCCGGAGGGGTTGAGCCATGAACTGGG